CATGACACTGGATACTGCTTAAATAGTGCCTGCAACATGTCAAGCCAGGCTTGACATTGTGGCCTTTTAGCCCAGTTTGACATTGTGGCCTTTTAGCTCAGTTGGTAGATCACTTCTATTGCAGGAGTTGTGGTCATCAAGCCTAAAAGGTCAAGCGTTCAACTCTCTGAGTTGGCAGATTCTGGGTGTGCCAGAATTGTAAGCTAGGCTTGACATTGTGGCCTTTTAGCCCAGTTGGTAAGATCACTTCTATTGCAGGAGTTGTGGTCATCACAGTTCAATTCTTGGTGTGGTCACTTCTCTATTTCTCTCCTTCGTCAGTTGTATGGTTTGAGAGTTTGGTTTAGTTGGGAAAGATGACTTGCTACAAATTTTGAAGCATTATGCACAAATAGTTGAATTTTCGGCATCATTTTGTAACATTACCATGCACTATCAGCCTCGAGACTTCAACTCGAGTAGTGGACACAAAACAATATGCAGAGGGTTTGTTGCTGGATTTTTTTCTTTGGGATCTAGTGCATTGTGCAGTGTACAAGAGGAGAAAAACCTGTAATAATCAGCAAATGCCTATGGTTGAAGAGAATGGGTGTGTATATACAAATTAAAGGCAGCAGCAGTGAATGTACAGACAGACCTACATTTCAGCTTGATAAACTGAACAAAGTGAGTTCACTATGACGTTCTAGTTCTTTTAAAGAACAAGACCATATAGCTCAGTGGTTAGAGCTTCCAAAGTTCATCCTTGGTGTGGTCACTTTTCTATTTCTCACAGGTTATGGGCCAGTGGTTAAGAGCTCCCAAGGTCCTATTGGGTGGTCCCAAGTTCAATCCTTGGTGTGGTCACTTTTCTATTTCTGACAGGTTATGGGCAACTTAGCTCAGTGGTTAAGAGCTTCCAAGGTCTTATCAGGTGGTCCCAAGTTCAATCCTTGTTGTGGTCACTTTTCTATTTCTGACAGGTTATGGGCCATATAGCTCAGTGAAGAGCTCCCAAGCTATTGGGTGGTCCCAAGTTCAATCCTTGGTGTGGTCACTTTTCTATTTCTCACAGGTTATGGGCCAGTGGTTAAGAGCTCCCAAGGTCCTATTGGGTGGTCCCAAGTTCAATCCTTGGTGTGGTCACTTTTCTATTTCTGACAGGTTATGGGCAACTTAGCTCAGTGGTTAAGAGCTTCCAAGGTCTTATCAGGTGGTCCCAAGTTCAATCCTTGTTGTGGTCACTTTTCTATTTCTGACAGGTTATGGGCCATATAGCTCAGTGAAGAGCTCCCAAGCTATTGGGTGGTCCCAAGTTCAATCCTTGGTGTGGTCACTTTTCTATTTCTCACAGGTTATGGGCCAGTGGTTAAGAGCTCCCAAGGTCCTATTGGGTGGTCCCAAGTTCAATCCTTGGTGTGGTCACTTTTCTATTTCCAGGTTATGGGCCTAGCTCAGTGGTTAAGAGCTCCCAAGGTCTTATCAGGTGGTCCCAAGTTCAATCCTTGGTGTGGTCACTTTTCTATTTCTCACAGGTGGGCCATATAGCTCAGTGGTTAAGAGCTCCCAAGGTCTAAGACTATCAGGTGGTCCCAAGTTCAATCCTTGGTGTGGTCACTTTTCTATTTCCAGGTTATGGGTCCCCGTACTCCCATGTGCAGTCAGCCTACTTATAAAATGGAAATATTATGTACATGTGAATGAAGAATAATCACATGTGGCAAACATGTGATAGCAAACATGTGATAAAATATATAATACATGTGATATATAATCACATGTAGAATGCATGTGAAAGAAATTTAATACATGTGATAGAATATAATCACTAGTCTACATGGAAATGTTGTGATTATTCTCTATTCACATGTACATTTCCAGACAGTATATAACTGTAGACAAACCACCTGAAGTCCTCACTTTTTCTGACTTTGGACTTCAGCTTTAGTGACAGTTTCTGTCCAACACCGGCCTCTACGGGCTACGCCTCGGGCCTTCGGCCCGAGTCTTAGCAGTGGGGAGCTTCGCTCCCTTGGGGGCTTCGCCCCCAAACCCCCTCTTAATTCCACCCCCAACCTCGCTTCGCTCGGTTAGGGCCTCGGTTGGCCAACTCAAGGCTTGAATCCAGCCTCAACCTCACTTCGTTCGGTTAAGGCCTCGGTTGGAGGTACTCAAGGCTTGGATCCAGCCTCAACCTCA